CCCCACACACACACACACACACACACACACTCACACTCGTGTCCCCTCAAAAATAATGATTGCATGACGCCCCTGGTATATCTCCTAACAGGCTGTGTGACTATGAGGAATGACTACCACAAAATGTACGTCGGTATGCAGTTTTCCCGATTGCTCGCATGTCAGTGATTATCCCTCTGCTTGCCACTTGGCACACATGCCATAGGTTGCGACCACCACTGGATAAGAATATAAGTGCACTATGTAGTCTTTTCTTTTGTGCCTGACCACTAAGGTCTTTCTTGCTCCTCTGAGCAAACTCCCTTGGTGACACCCACCAGCTGTTCTAAAGGGGGCTGTGTGATAGAATGGCTGGGTTGCTGGTTTCTGGGTCGTCCAGCTAAAGATGACCCGGGGCAACCGGAGTGGACAGAGATATCCCAGGCCATGACCTCAGGCACTGGTAAACTAAGGCAGGTCTTTGGCCCAGCAGTGCCACCTCACATTTAAGTAAAGTCCATGTGATAGACCCAGCTCCAGAGACTGCAAGTTATTGGGTCTGAATGGTGCTAATACGCTGGGCTGGTTGGATGCGGGTTGGAACTCTGGTGTCCCATTAATCCTAGCTGGGAGAATCATATCTGGTTAGAAGTTCAGGCTTTTACTGTGGACTGTTCTGAAGTAATGTGATCTGAAGGTCTTCCCTATAGTGATTCAACACTGCCTTGAAGATTGTTAGAATAATAGACTGTGGAGAGGACATTATTGCCTCAGTGCCTATAACACTTTACTAAGAGCAGACAAAGGAGAATATAAATGGTAGGATGGTGGTACTCTTTAACTTAAACACAAGTTTTGCATTAGTATGTTCTGTCTCGTGACTGCTAGAGCTTGAAGGCCATTTTATTAATTTCTACATAAAACAACAATCCAGCTATAGACATTGTACTTCAGCCCAAAAAGTCACCTAATCACTTATATGAATGGTGTACTGTATGTTGCATTGTTTCTGTTAAGCAATCAATTATAAAATGCTTATCTATTTTTTTGCCATCTAAAATAAAACAGTCGAAAACAACAATTTCAGAGTCTCAGATCCAACTTGGCCAATGTATAGACCCAAATGGAAGCTGGTGTCTCATTCAATTATGTCCCCGGGACATGTCCCCTTTAGGCCCCATTTTTTGAGGGATCGCCTCACATTGCTAATTGGGTCTCGTCTCACACCAGGTTGATTGGACGTGACACTTAAGTGCAGGGTGAGGGCTCCAAAAGTCACTGGAGCAAAGAGAGGAGAAAAACAATCAAAATTGAATTACTGACCAGTAAATTTGCTAATTATAGTCCATTAGCCCAAGCACAGAGAGGTGTGAAGACAATCCAGAGCCACATGAGACTCCTGACACTTTGACCTAGATTACCCAGAGGATGTGTTTAATATGCAGACTATATCTTTGTGTACTATATGCTGTATTCATGGCACTTTTTGATTTTAAAATCAAACCCGCAGTTCATAAAATGACCACAATTCATGCATCAGTGAACTATAATGTGTGTGTTTCTGTCAAGTTTATTTGATCAAGAATACAGTAAAATAATAATATTGTTACAATTTTTATTTTAATATATTTTTAAAAATGTAATTCATTGCTTTGTTGGCAAAGCTGAATTTTCAGCAGCCATTACTTCAATCTTCATTGTCACATGATCCTTCAGAAATCATTCTAATATGCTGCTTATTTTTTTATATTAAGCAGCACAAATAATAATATTCTTAATATTTTAGTCTTCGTTTTGAATAATTTCCATGCTTCACATTTTAAAACCTAGTTAGCATGTTTGCTAAATTTTTGGGGCTGCTAAACATTATGTTTAGAAGTTATGAAGGAGAAGTTTGAGTTAAAGTTCAATATCATGTTCAATTCGATCACAGGAAACTTTCAAAGCATTTTCAACAGAAGTTTAATTTTCTGAAGCTTCACGGGCAGAAATTACACAGCAGTGCCTTCTGAAGTGGATGGTCTAGATCTTCTATAGCAGGTTTTTTCCCCTTCCCACTGTCATTCTTTTACTGTCACTTGTTTGTTTTGTCCTGTCCGTGAGTTGAACCTTTCAGGGATGAACCAGGTCATATTATCTTGTGATCTGGAGTAGAAGAAAGATTGATATTCTCACACAAGGTCACTATACATAATACCAGCACCTTAGAGGACTAGTCTAGTGTGATCTTTTGTTCTGCTCGTAACACTCACCTCTTCTCCTAGAAGCTAAAACCGTTTGAGTGTCCAGTATATCAATTAAAAAGCTCCTTTTCTGCCCTTTGGAGGGGGTGGGGGTACAGGTCCAAATATTTACATTAGGGCATATCAGTTTGACGACTGTGTGGCGGAGCGGAGAGAAGGGCCATTTGGTGCAGCAGAGAGGCCATTAGCAGAGTTAAATGTCTAGAAAGTATCTGGACCAGACAGCTTTCCACACAGGATCACTCGACCGCAACCACATAACTGCATGAATACTTCCGTCATGCAGTAAATACAGTCGTGAACAAAGATTGGGTTTGTAAATTAGTTTGTTAATGAGGAAACACCTTTTCAACACCTTTAGGCAGGTAAATGGATTTGGATGGTGTAAAGGACAGGTCATGTACACCATCTACCCCCAAATGTCAGCATAATGTGTAATGAACTAAAATAAATAAATGTATTTTGTTTATCCACCTTGTGGCAGGCATTAGAGTTACAAATTGCATTTATTTGAACAAAATTGAGCAAAATATAATTGAACAAATCAAATTACCAAAAGTGAAAAGTTTATAAAGTGTTTGCTTCTTGTCAAGGACAGAGGGAGAAGACCAGGTATTGTTGTAGTGTTAATTGTCTCAGCAAGCTAATCCCATGCTTACAAGAACGTTATTGATTTATTTTTCAGAGGTTGCTCTATTATATCTAAGGAGCCAGTTGTGAACATGCTGTAAAAGTATAGAACAAAAAAAAACATGCCAGACAGACTTTGGTCAAACCTGAACACCATTTAGAGACCGTTGAGAACTTTTATGAAGTTCATTAAAATTACTTGAGGTTAGAAAGTGTCACAATCATCTTCAGTTTGTCTTATAGAGGACAAACTGATCTATTAAATTCTTCTGAATGTAAATGTTCAGCCATTTTTACCTTAATCATGGATATTTTGTTTGTAAAATAACTGCAGGGGAAAACAGCAGATGTGATTTCTCTCTTTTGAAGGGCCTTTGCTGCTTCCTAATTATCTTCTTTGATGCACCAAGAACTCGTCGTTTGGTCTCCTGCGCATCGCTCGCTGCTTCGGGTGTTGTAAACTGCATTGGTGATTGGTCTCTATCCGTAACATTGTGTGCCCAGCTTGAGATGACGCATTGGCCTGGAGTGACTCCAAGAATAGTTAGGCTGCTGTGGTTCCTTGGCATTAGAAAGATTATTGTTTATCCCTCTCCTCTCGTAGAGACATCTCCACTCTTGTGAAATTATGAACGCTGCACGGTTCCCCTCCAGGTTGCTTCTCTGGTTTGTGAGGTGTGAACTTGAGCGTAGGTGGAGGATAAAAGATGGTCTTTGAAGAACATCATTAGATAAGCCATGACCTAGGGAGGCATATTTGACCCCTCAGGCTCAAACAGATGCAATGAGCATTATTTTGTTTCTTCTTATTTCCTATCAGACTATTTGTAACAACAAGAATCTAGTAGTAGTAGTTCTTTCTAGTAAAAGTTCCTTCCTTGCATATGTCAAGCAGCATGAGCTTTTTTCTGTTTAATACTTTAATCCATAGTAGATTATAATAGTGATGCATGTTGCATCAGTATCATATTGTTCATATGTTATTGGCAGACATTCATTTTTTTAATCACTATAGTAGATATTGTACATGCTCTTTTCACCTATTTTTACATTTAGACTACCTTTGCCATCAACTAATGCTAACTTAAATTTTGTGTTTTAATACTGAATTTAATAACACTTTTAAATGTAGAACTGAGCAAATCTCTAAATAAATTTTTAAAAATGTAACTGTAGCATTTAAAATTAATTTTTAGTGCTTAATTTTGAATTAAAAGTTGTTGTTTTTTAAATGTCGGCCATTTATTAGTTATCGGCCAAACATGAAAGTAATTTTTGACTTGATTACTACCAAATTTTTAAGATTTGTGAAAACCTGTGGATTTCAATCAGTATAAATTTTAGCATATCAAAAACTAATCTCTTGGAGAAATATCTGCAAAAGTTGCACTGTGCAATTTTTTTTTAAATGAAAAAATAATAAATTGAAACTTGTAAAATGTTATAATGTGGACATTAAGATATTTAATATATATGTAATTCATTTAAGATCCATTTGTTATTATGGATCTTAAACGTTAACATGTTAAACTTTGTGTTTTGTTCTATTATATTTTAACCTGGATTTGAGCAGTAAAAGCAACTGTAGAAACTAGCATGATGTTAAAAACAAATGTGATATTAAGCTTTGGAGGGATGTGTGGATAAGCAAACATTTGGCAAAACTGACCTTGTTTTAAGTTCCCTAATTAAATGCCTCCTCCTGTGTCGCACTATTGGGTAAAAAGACTGCCATCATGAATCTTTAAGACATCGCTGTCATCCAGTCAAATCAACTCAAAAACCCAATTATCATGATGAGACACAGGTTGTAATGCTGGTTAAAGTTGGTTTGGTTGCACGCGCTGGCTCATATTTTAAAAAGCACACTGGAGGGAAAGAACTGAATTTCCAATTATCATAACAAGGATATTCTCATGTAAGAGCAGACAGCAGCAGAAAAAAAATTCGTTTTTATTCTGCATGATTTGGCAACTTAAAGAGGTCAAGACGTACATTTGCGTAGCCTTGAGCTATATTAAGTCTGCACAACAACAGAAAGGGGGTTGAGGGCTTTGTGTTTTAACATGCGTGCTGGATGTGGTTGCATGTACTCTGGTGTGCTCACTATGTCTCCCAATCTACCTTCAGGTAACACAAGCACATGGCCTTTTAAATACCTCAGGGAATGTCAATTTACAGTAGGTTTATTAGTGCTTTTGGTGCCAGAACAAATGTAGGAAATAATCATCCATGTTTCAAAGAGCACCTAAAGAGGGAAGCGAATAATATGCTGGACAAGAACCTTTTGTACTTTGTGCTGAAATGCAGTAAAATAAAGCAGGCATTGGTTTTTCCCATAGTAGAATGCAAAGAATACATACGTTTTGTTTCAACAAAGCTATATTAAAAAAATTAAAAGTTTAGAGATGTAAAGATTGTATTATCACAGCATGCATCTATCAGTTTGTAGTATAAATGTTTCCCCATTAGATATATTAATAGAAATAATTGTTTTAAAAGTTGTAGATGTTTTCATGTTTCAGTTAAATACACTAATTGATATTCAATATGTTTTATCTAATATTAATATTTAATATCCATACATATGTTATAATATACACTACCATTCAAAATGTTTGGGTTTTTAAAATAAATTATACTTTGATTCAGCAAAGATACATAAAATTTACATTTTTTACAAAATCTATTTAAGATTTTTTTTCAACCTTATTATTCATTAAACAATCCTGAAAAAAGTTTTCACAAAAATAAGCATTTTCATCTGCAATAAAAATAAAAAATGTTACTTGAGCACCATATCAGCATATTAGAATGGTTTCTATAGAATCACGTGACATTGAAGACTTGAAAAAAGGCTGCTGAAAAAAATCTGATTTGCCATCACGGCAATAAATTACATTTTAAAATATGCAAAATCACAATATTATTGTTTTACTGTATTTTTGATCCAATAAATGCAGCCTTGCAGAACATGAGCGACTTCTTTCATAAACATTATTTATATTTTACCGACACTAAAGTTTTGAATAATAGTGTAGGTGGAAACATTCATATATTGTGTGTAGCATTGCGGGATTTTTGCAGATGTTTTTGTACATGCTCGGATGAATTAATTAGAGTCTGAATTTCACTCTGCTGCACAAGATACAAGCACTAGGAAGAACAAGCCAGATTCCCTGTACCCTGTCTCCACAGATCCTGTCATTGTCCGTGAACCCCAGTCTCCACACCATGAGAAACAGGAGTTTGCACCGATCCGCCCACCAAACCCCAGGATTTTCATTTGGATCCATTCTATAGCCCCGCCCTCTCACCCTAAGCCATGCGTCCAGTCCATGCATGACAGTTCCCAACATCCCCTGCCAAAAGTGTTTCCTAGATGCATCATGATTCATGACACTATCGGCTTCCTGACCTCTGAGTTCTGTGTCTTGCACTTTTTTACATTTATAATCCGAGCCTGTCAACGGTTTCTTACCGGCTTGCGAGACGCTGCCCCCACAATGTGCTGTCTTGCGCCTGTACGGCCTCATGAGGTTTGTTTGTGTGTCTATGTGATTCCACTCCATGAACACGTTCGTATAGATGCACTCCATAAAATAAAGAGTAGCACAGGGTCTTGTCATTCCTCCACAGCTTAATCAGGAGCTACACAGAGGAGAGGAGCACAGCAGCCCGTACCTTCCTGATCATTCTAATGAGGACCCCTGGCAATGCAGTCAGTGAAGTATAATTGACTTGTTCGTCTCTTATTTTCATAATAGACACTCCCTGACCCAGAGCACATTTAGTTTGCTATGAGAGATGTCAGAAAGCATTGGAAGTTTCCTCTGCATGCCCATTAAATCTGAAGGCATGCCACCCTGTCCTCAGCCAGCAAGCACTGTCATTGGCTGCCCAGCTCATTATGCAGATAGGAAAAGCAAGTAAATGATTCCCAGATTGGGCGAAAAACCTTCTGTGCCTGTACACACCCTGCACCCCCTCCACACCGGAGCCTTTCAATGCATCCAACCAGACAAAAAAAATGCAATTCTGTTGCTCTGAAAAAATAAGTTACATATAAATGATAAAAGTGCAGCAGTGCCCCTTGACGTGAAAACCTGGTGAAGCGTGTGGATGTCATTGTTGTTGCAACAAGGCCTGCCATCTACCTTTCAGGACCGATTGAAATCAAATTACATATTTTTTGCAAAGGTAAGGGTTAGCCAGCGAGGGTGAGCCCTGGATCTCTGTCCCTGCTAGCTGATATGAAACAGAACAGCTGTGGATATCAATGCCCCCGCGCAATTCTCCACTGACCGTGTCTGCTGGGATTTTTAGAGCTGTCGCATTCATTGCTATGGACGGTGGTAATGGGATACATCCTCATACATCTGGCATTGAGAACACAGAATTAGATCATTATCACTTAAGTAAACCTACTACTGGCACATTTTAAAATGTCTGCAAGTAATTTACTGCTTTGCAAGTATTCGACATTCTCTATTTCCTGGCCACACATAGAGTCCTAGAAAATATTACCTCTCTAATAGGTTTTTTGCATTATATGTGTGAGGAAAAAAACACCGCTTTCTCTCCTTCTGTACTTTCTGTCTCTGCGTCATTTAATGAGATGATTGTGTCTCCCATGCGCCTTCATTGAACTTTTATTTTGTGGTCAGCCTTCTATTGCTCGTGGCGCGGCGGCTGAGATGCAGGGACATCATTAAAGTAATTACTACAAGCTCTAGTAGTGGCAGGAAAATAATATGGTGGGGGTGGTCTTTTTTTCCACAGAGAGAAAATGTTTTTTTCACCAAAAATTCAGCACTGCCATGATTGTTAGAACAGACAGGACCCATCACATTTCTTGGACCTTCAATTTAGTCACACAGTTGCCAATCCTGTTTTAGAGTACCAAGTGCGTTTACTTTCACACACAGTTCTGTTATGAACCAGAGTGACAACTGTATTCTATAACTGAAAGGACTCTCCTATATTTTCTGCATTTTTAGTAGTGACTCTGTACAGTATACTTAAATATTGTGTGGGATGTGTTTTCATGGTGGATTTTCATGTTCTGTGGTTATATATGTTTTGATTAGTTTGTGCATTTATTGCATTCATTTGTAATATAACGTTGTGTCAGTTGTGAGAAGATTTTCCAATGGTATAGAAGTTGCTGTCTTTGATAATGGTCATATTTGTGTTTTTAGTGTGCAACAGTCTGGTAAAAAAAAATCTCATTCATTTTCTCTGTATATATCTATATAAAGCTTTTAGATCTACCATGAGCTTTGAAGTTTCTAATTAACTGTTTATGATTCTTTGAAGCCGTCAGTAACTTTAATTTCATCTAAAATATATATATATATATATATA